AAAAAGGAAAAGCATGTGATCTGTAAAACGTCATTTTAAAATAAAGCAATTTGTAGCTCTCAATCTGAAAAACAGAAAAAAAAGAAAACATATTAAGTTATGTATAAACCCTTTTCTTTATCAAGAAGTTTCATTTTTTTTTATTGCATTTTAACCCTTCATGTTTTCTATTTACAAAACCTGTTCTTCGCTTGCAGCTATAATGGAACAAACTTCCCTCCATATTTCTGTGTACATAACTGCGGGACGCAAAGGTGTCTATATACAAAGAATGACATTTCCATAAACCTAGATTATACCAGAGAAGTGTCCGTTTCTAGACCAGCTGCTATCTTCAGCATATCAAACTTCGAAAGTTGCCTCCGTTTAACAATGCTGCTGTTACACAGCCTGATATTGCCTCTGTGACCTAGTTTCCTTCGAAACAACTACCTCTAGCCACAAACATCTTCTCGTCACTACATATTATTCGATCCTGGTGGAGGTGACAGCTGTCTTAAGACTCTTCCTACCACATCACCATCCCTGCCCCCATGGCGGCCGGAGCCTCTCTTCCAGAGCGTCATGGAGGAGAACGCAAGCATGGGATTAGCTTATTAAGGCCCACATCTTTGATCTGAGGTTATCTATTCCATTTCCACGGCAACCTGATCATACTGTGGCTTCTTAACACGCACACGCCAACGAGTGCTCAACCCCACACAATGAAACACATGAATGGGCCTTAAAGCCCTAGAGAGCATGGCCCAACAGAGATGTGAAGTGTAGATGTGCAGCAACAGCTAAGCATCGTGTCAGGTTTCTGGGGGCTCGTGCTAAATTTAACCCTGTGATCCTGCAGAAGGCAGAGGGGTTTAAATGCCGGCCTACAGTTGCTCCACACCAGTTGTTCACCACACGTCTCCCACTCATTGCAAACTCTGAGCAGGGGGAAGACAGGCGCACACGCGTACGGTCCAACACACGTCCCAGAGGCAGGAATCGACACCACGCACTGAAGAGCAGCAGGGATTGAACACAACACGGGCTGATATGGAGCTCTTTGAGACCAACCCTTACTTCTTTCCTGACCAGCGCTTCTATGAAGGAGGGGATAGCTACTTTCCCTCTCGCCTGCCTGGAACATATGATCAAGCTGGTTACCAAGACAGAAACTCCATGATGGGCTTGTGTGGGAGTCTGGCTGGGAGTGCTGGTGTCGGAGTAGCAAGTAGTGAGGATAAAGCGTCTCCATCCAGCCTGTCACCTCATTCTGAGCCCCACTGCCCTGGTCAGTGCCTGCCCTGGGCCTGTAAGCTGTGCAAAAGGAAGACTGTGACCATGGATCGTCGGAGAGCAGCGACGCTGAGGGAGAAGAGACGCCTAAAGAAGGTGAATGAGGCCTTTGATGCTCTGAAGAGGAGCACCTTGATGAACCCCAACCAGAGGCTGCCCAAGGTCGAGATCTTGCGGAGTGCCATACAGTACATCGAAAGGCTACAAGCATTGGTGTCCTCTCTTAACCAGCAGGACACCGAGACAGGACAGCAGGGACTGCACTATAGAACCACCATGAACCAGCCCAGAGTGAGTACAACAGCAACAGAAATATGCAAAACAACACTTGTAGAGAAGCTGAAAAGTATTTAAGAACTGACAACATTTTTTTCTAAGTTGAGATATTTCAATCAAAAACTATTCTGTCTTAATTCTTAAACATACAGGTTTAAATCCATTAGTGGGTGTCTGTGTGCATTTTTGTCAAAATGACTGACAGCAGCTTCTGTGTGTGTCTTTATGCTAACAGGTGTCGTCGTCCAGCGAGCCCAGTTCGGGCAGCACCTGCTGCAGCAGCCCCGAGTGGAGCAGCACTCCCGAGCAGTGCCCGCCAAGCTACGGCGCTGAGGGTGAGTGCAGCGTGAAATTTATCCTCACCGAATGCCTCAAAAAGATTAGTGTTGAGCAGACAGCACTGATGGCTTTTCTCCTCTTTGCAGATCTACTGAGCGCGGCTGAATCTCCTGAGCAGGGCAACATGCAGGCCTTGACTTCCATCGTGGACAGCATCTCTGCTTCAGACGGAGCTGTGGCCTTTCCTGTAGACATTCCCAAATAGACCCTTGGAAGCAGTCGGATCACAGATGTAGATGCACAAATCCAGAAATCATACAAAAATAATAATTACTGGTGATGCTGTTGACTGGAATCATTTAATATTTTTAGTGAATCTGCTGATTTGAGTGTTTTGTCTTATGAAAAAGATCAATATTGGTGATTAATTATGAGTCTATGGGCTAAACTGAATTCCTCCTTTCCAAATGAGGCCTTATTCCCTGATTACTTGCCTTATTCTGTGGTCCAGTCCTGTTTGTCAGAGCTACAGACGCTCAGTCTAACTTGAGATTCATAGATTTTGCTGCATGAACCCAAAATTCTAGTTATCCTGAGAATCTCTGTTAAACCTTCTTCCAGACTCACAGATGAATTGTATTGTTCTAACTTAATTTAAGTTTTCCTCCTTATGTTTGATTCTTTCCGTGTGAGTTTATTATTGCTTAATAAAAAACATGCGTTTATTTGCGGGGCCAATATGTAACAGGGCAGTTTTGACCAAGATCTGCTTAATTTAAACAGGTTATAAATGCTTTTGTTGTAAATACGTTCCCTTTTTTTTACAGAGTGGTTTTGCCATTTTATTTTTTATCTTTGCTAACTTATTTTTGACTTTTATAACTAAGATTGTTGTGTATTTGTAGATGTTTTGAAAAGTGATGTTTTGATTCTTGGAATAAAGACGATTTTCAATACGCTGTCTCTTGGTTTCAAAGTAATGAGAACTTCAAGAAGGAGCACAGAGTCCAAATTCTTTAAAAAACAGCTTTACTTATGTCTATATAGTGTCATAAATACAGTACAGTTTTTTTCCCCGATGGCCAAATAATAAAACCTTGATTTGTCAGCATTGTTTTACACCTGGAATAAAGACACAGTACTCATAGCTGCCACATAGCACATTACACCTTTTAGACACCTTGGAAAAAAAAAATCTGTAAAACAATAATTAATAAAAAAACATTTTACAGCCATCCATCAGTCCATATGTTGTGTTCTCATTGGAGGAGGAGTTGGTCAGCCGCATGTAAAGACCACACAATGGCATATCTTCATAAGAACTGAATGTGAAATGGTGGAGCAGGACCGGACGTGTCTCTGTAAGTTACACTGCCTTACAAAAGTACTCATACCCTTTAAACTCTGAACATTTTCTCACTTTATAACCCAAAAGGATATCATATTTCATTTGATTAATTCAGAATAGTGTGTAATAGACTATATAAACCCTAAAAGTGTGGCATGGACTTTAATTTAGCTCCCTTAGTACGATGGAGTATTCTAAGTTTAATTACAAGAATCAAGTTGTAATACAAGGAAAATAGAGTAATACAGTAATAAGAATAAAGTCTTTATAATATTACAGTAAAGTAATAATATTATCAGATAAAAAAGTAGTTTTAATAAAATGAAAGCGTTAATAGAGTTATCCACCATGGTCACCCAAACTGCAGCCTAACTCGAACATTTTGAACTGCTTTTTCTAGTGAGAGTTTACATTCAAAAAGCTACTTCTTTAGTCCTGTAATAAAGCATTGATCTCGCTCTGTTACAACCTCAATTTCACATTGTATGACTTTAAACTCATAATTTAACAACTTTATTCGCATTGTGTTACGACTTTGTTGTGGTGTGACTTTAATCTCGTAATATTTACGATTTTATTGTTTATAATGTTAAGACTTTTTATTTTACTTAATTTTATGATATCAAGACTTTACTCCAGAAATGCTAGTAATTTATTCTTGTTCGGTTCAACTTTAATAATTTTATGACTTTAATCTTGTCATGTTAGAATTTTATTGTTGCAGACTTAATAGCGTGGCTATTTTTTGTAATAGTTTATTCTATTACGACTCTAATCTTGTAATTTTACGACTGGATCCTTATTAACTTAATAGTCCAACTTTATTCTTGTAATGTTTTCACTAAAATCGTAGTGTTGCAATTTTATCATTGCAGGCTAAATCCCATGACAATTTTTTCGTAATATTAGGACTTTATTCTTATAATACGACTTTAACCCTAAGGTTACAACTTTAATCTCATAATGTTAGGATTCTATTCTTGTAGATCTATTATTATGACTTTGTTTTTTAATCATTTACTTAGTGTCACATTTGTTTTGATACCACTTTAATCTTGTAATATTGTCATTCATGCAATTTTATGAAATTATTTTTTTCATATTTTTTTTTTTTACGACTTTAATTTCCTAGACCTAAAATTCTATGTTTATTCTCATATTGTTGTGCTTTATTTCCCCAATTTAAATGAAATATATATCTCTTTGTATGGCCAAAGCATGCCATCATACCTTTACTTATTTATCCCTAAATTAAATTAGAGATCACACCATTCCAATTCAACTTAAAGGGATAGTGGAGGATTTTAGCAAATTTTTTATATTAAATGCCTGCGAGAGCGTGCACGAGCCCATTTCTCCTCTTGCACGCTCTGTTTAAAATGTGCTGTCTGCATCTCTCATACAAGCTTACTTTACAAAAGAAGATTTGAATTATTCCAATATGTCAGACTGACCACCGGTACGTTAAAATGAAGACGAGCACGTAGGATGGCCTTACTTAAACATATCACCAGAATGATTGACAATTAGGAGGACCACTTATATAGATGATCCACCCGCAAAAAGAGCATCCTCCACTATAGCTTTAACTGATTGTTTTAGGGAACATTGATGAAAAACCAGCCTTATGAAGACCACAGAGCATAGTAGACAGGTCAAAGGCAGAATTAGGTTCTAAAATATGTTCTAAACCTTTGGATGGCTTATACAGTACTAACCATTCAAAATTTCCCTACTTTTGTTGATGGGTCCTTGGCTGGTCGCCTACAATTCCCTTTTAAAATTTTAGATTTGTACTAAAATATTCTTTCTGTCATGATTTGTGGATATTAAGATCTAAAGAGAAGCATCCTCTTCCGGTCAGACCCTGTACTTTAGTGAAAGGGTGGAGTCAGAGTAATAAACATCTTGGGTTCATGGAGGGGATTTTGCTGGGGGGAAGTCTGCTGCCATTCGTCTGGTATTTGACTGGGAAGGGCCATTTTGAATGGATCAGACTGTAGATTGTTAGGATTTTTCTAAAACAATTAAAAAAGACCATCTTTCAACTACACAAATGGCTTAAAACCAAACTGACAGGAGAGTAAAAAATAAGAGAAGCAGCCAAGAGTCCCAATAAAACTCTGCAGTAGTCCTGCATTATGGGAATCTGGCCTTTTATATGGAAGAGTGAGAAGAAGAAAGGCATTGCTGATGAAAGACATATTAGTTGTAGTTGTAGAGGTTGTGTAGGAACTACAGCAAATCTGTAAAAATCTGGCTCCATGTTCAGATAAGGACAATATTTATACTTTTTATCCACTTGGAAAACACTAATATGTAGGGATGAGACCCCATAAAGCCCTAAACAAACCACCACTACCATGAAACAAGGTGGTGGGAGCATCTTGCATAGTGGGCAACATTGGATGAAACCCTGGAGTGACTCTGAGGTTTAGTCAAAAAAGTTTTTCTGCAAACCACAGAGAGCTGAATACAACTACATGCCACACTTTTCAGATTTCCACTGATGATAAAATTGAGGATCACATGTATTTTTTGTTGTTTTGTTCAACCAGCACATGAAATACCAGCAACAATCAAAAAATTGAAATTTGTGATTGTAATGGGAGAAAATTCCAAAGGCCTTGGATGCTTCGGGAGGGCAGTGTGGAGCAGTGCAAGTCAACCCCGGCTGATGCTGAGCAGCAGTATATAGTTTGACATGAAAGAAAGTTTGGAATTGACAGAAGTGAGCTACAGTGTCCACACTAAAACTCCACACGCACATTTAGAATAAAAGTCACATGTTTGGGGGGTCAGCCACACGCACACACCAACACACGACCCCTTCACAAGTCTCCAGGAGATAGGCTGATTTGCACAATCACACACGCGCAAACACACTCACTGACACACTCTTTATTCAACCCTCACAGCATCTCTCTCTCTAGGCTACAAAGCATCATACAGAAGGCGACAGAGGCGAAGAGAGGAAGAGAAATTACAGCTACATTGTGTCAAAAGGTTTTGGGAGGGGGGTTAGGAGAAGAAGAGAAGAAGAAAGAATTGGACCCATGAACCTGTGAAGAGTCCTTGTAAAAACGCACGCTTCCTTTTGTGAATCCCTCCCACCAATTATTCGCACACAGAGAACGACACGCAAAGGTCCAACACAGAGAGAAAGGGAGAGAAGGAGAACAGTCACTATCGAATACAGGGCATTGGGTTTCAAACAGCAATATTATATTACTTTCCATATATATTTCCAATATATATATTATATATATAATATTTCTATAAAAAACATAAGTTATCCATTTTTATGTACAGAGATGATAAATGAGCAATACCTTGCATAACCGGTAGAAGGGTAATGTGCAGAGTGATCTGCCATTTATACAAGTATTCATCAGTGTCGAGTCCAAAGCAACGACTTGCTCATCATCTCCCTTAAATCTTTTCCACAACTGTCGTGTTAACACGGGAAGATTTTTTTGGTCTTGGCCATTTCAGGACGATTAGAACCAGGACGAGACCCCACAGCTGAGACGAGGAGAGCGGGAACACGACACCACAACAACGAGGCTACTGGGAGCACTGGGGTAAACAAGGCGAGACCGGGACGAGCCTCCTTTACAGCAGCAGCGGAAAGCAGCCAACGAGCGCTCTCTGGGAGCAAAGGTCAAAAAGGTGCCCCCCTGTATTGCACGAGTCCAGAGGGGAGGAGAGAGATGAAAGGTGGGAGGAGAGGCTGGGCGTGAGAGGGGAGGAGACTCCGCCCCCCCCTTCCCCTCCTGGCGCACCCAGTCCTCCTTCTCCAGATTTGGCATATCACTCTCAAAAGGCCGCAAGCATGTGTCCGTATAAGTAATGAGAATGCACTGGAAAAGAGATCCACAGAGAAGAGGGTGAGAAAAACAGGAAGATATAAGATTCTAAGATTTTTTAAAAGTAACTTGTGTCTAATTTCTTATTTATTTATACTTTGTTTCTTGGGAAGTTTTCATTCTTCTTTTTATATTCATGAAAGCTTTCTGAAGTTTAGTTTGTTAGCCAGTTGGTCTGTTTTCTTAAAAAAGAAAGCAGTTCACAGTAAGTTAAAATGCCACACATGCATATCCATACTATGGAATGAATTTGAATCCATTATTGTTGTAAAAAACATATTTTGGAAATTAGAATTCGAAAAAAAAAAAAAAAAAGAAATCCAGAAATGAGAGCTATAAAGCATTCTAATAAAAAAAATGGTTTTAAGAGTAAGTTTGCTATTCTTGAGATTTTTTTAAATTTTTTTTTTTACATATATTTATATATTTTTCTACGTTTTTGTATTTTTATTAACAGATTTATATCTTATTTGTTTTACGTTTCAGATTGCTCTTTGAGAGTCGCATTCATTTTTAAATTGCATTTTGCAAATCAACTCCCCTCTCTTTAGCGGAGGGCTTTTCTCTAGAGTGAGGAGCCAATCAGATCTGTAAAATGTTATTCAAAAACAATGCAATTCATGAAACTCAGTCTGAAAATCTAAAAAACAGAAAAAAAATATATAAAATCTTTAAAAGCAATGTTTAAAGAGAATATAATAAGGACATGTAAAAACTGTAAATTATTTTTTGAATATATATAAAACAATAATATTCATGAATAAATACAAAAATAATACAATAACAAAATCTGACAAAAAAGTTACTCTAAAACCTTTTTTTATCAGAAAATTTTTTGGGATAGTATTTTTTAATCAAATTTCAATTTACAAAACTTGTTTATTGCTTGCAACAATAATGGAACAAAGCTCACTCCATACATATCACTAAATGTCCGTATCATTAAACAGTACACTAATGTTCTGGCTTACAGTTAAGGAAAACAGATATTCAGACTGAATTCAGGCTTTAAATAACCCCAGGTTGCTTTGATAGCAGTGCCGTCTGCAGGGTGCTGTGATTCTCATTTTCTTTTTGACAACACTGCATAGGTTCTCTTTGGAAATGTATATCAGTTTCTCTGTAAAACTTTTTAGAAGAAGGAGAAGAAAAGAAGCAAAAAATTAAAAATAACAGCAGCCAATGATATTGTTCTTCACATCCTAAAGCAACCTGGACTAAGATAAGTGTTCATTGGATATCATATTGGGACACAACTCTTGTTGTGTATAAGCTGAATATGTTTCAGTCTTACCCACGGTCTTGGGGCCTTATGCATAAAGGCGCATGGTTTAAATAATAAAACCCGCAAAAAAGTGCTTGTACACCCCCCTTTTTTCCTACATTTCTATTGATGTACTTTCCCACTGCTACATCTCTTTCTGGCTTACAGTATTAAGATTTTTTTCTCTGATATATCTTATGAATTATCTGCTATGAAATTGGTTTTATATGTTCAAAATGAAAAATTAAGAGGAAAAGTGTTTCTTTTCCATCATGTTATTTAAATGTATTTATTTTATTTAGTTCTATTCTTTAAACTACCAGAATTTGCACATAACCATCTGACTGATTACCTTTAAAGTATTAAATCTGATCTTATGATTCCAAAATGCCATTTTAATGAGTCACTTTTTTTCTGATTTATTTTTTTCTCAAAATAGCACTTTTACCAAATGGACTACTAGTTGATAGTTCACCAACTGACCTTTTAGCACTAGTGCTCCTTTTAGTAAGTAGAGTGTCGTTAGCAGGAATAGGTCCGCACAGCCGAAGGGTCAAGTCTCGGCGGTGCAGGGGGAGGAGCTTAACAAGGTGTGGAAAATAAGGTTTTCAGCACAGCAGGACAGAAAAGACACAAAATGCAGGTTAGTCAGTCGTGTTAACCAAAGAGTGGCTAGAGAGGAGATAAAAAATGCTTTAACTAGAGTTAGGCTGACTAGTATTTTAACAAACCTTCAGGCTGGAGTTGTTTCTTGGCAGCCAAGTTCATGGAGGGCGGCATCGACATGGCGGGCATGCGAAAGCCAGCAGGTAGCGTCTCCATGGAGCCTGCCATCATCCCCAGACCCGTCCCTCCCTCACGGGCCCGAAACCGCTTGCGCCATGATGGTGAGCGTCGAAACGTCTTGTCGTCTCCGCTCTGAAAGACGGAAGACAGAAAATAAGGTAAAACAGAAAAAATATGATCTAAGAATAAAACACGAAGGGAAGCAATTACTTCTAAGACAGGAACAGCTATCAAAGACACTATGGAAAAAAAACTTCTTGCAAAGTTACCTCTTCCAGTCGACGGTCTGTTCCCAAGGCTAGAACGTTGTTAAACTCTCTTTCTAGAACCTGTCTTGCCTAAAAATATGCCAAAGGAAAAACAAATCTTAATCAGGTGTAATATTGCACCTCTATGTTCTATAGTACCGTCATATAAAAGACAATTCATAAAGTGCAGTGCCACAACTACATCTCTGATGCTTTCAAAAAACGTAACCATTTGAAGACTGGTAGACATTTGAGGAAGTTATGTTAAGCACAATGTGTCAAGTGAGCAGGCTGCCTGGGACAAGATGGCTGCCAGATGTTCCCGTCACCGCCATTGAGTAGGAGTGGGTATATTCATAATAATAATTGAACTTTATTGATCTCACATTGGAGAAATGTACCTGCATTCATACCATGCCCTTGGGTAGCAGTGGGCTGCCACTGTACAGCTCCCAGGGAGCAGTGTTAGGTTAAGGCTTTTGCTCAGGGACCAAGAGTGGGGGCTGTGGGGATCGAACCGGGGACTTGCAACCTTCTCAGAGCACAAGCGCACTGCTCTAACCACTAGGCCAACACTCCCCCAAAAGTTTGCAATTCCTTTCCTTCTCTCCAAATAACTGTCCAAATTAAAACAAACCACTATGGATTCTAAGAGACTGCCTGGTTGGTTGTTTAAAGATTTGCTTTTGGTTAAAGTTCACTTTGAATTTGCCATTTTTCAGACTAGCTCTTAGCTTAAACCTCAGAGGAAACCTAAATCTGTATTAATCATGATGAAAAAAAAAAATATTTTAAAGGTAAAATGTCTCTCCATAAATCCAAATCCAAAAGGTGAAAAAAACAATGACATTTTAGGCTGCCTGGTCCACCCACTATAATCATCACATTGTTTCCTGTATAACCACCTGTGTGTTTTGCATGGGGATCTGCAGGATGAGCGCCAGGCTGCTGTAATCGAAGGTTTCATCCAGAGCGATGAGCGCCCCGTGAACGCCGCTCTCCAGCAGGTTGCCGCTGTACTCCCTCAGACCGATGGACTGGACCCAATGGATCACCTGCTCGTTGGTCCAAACCAAAACATCTGAAATCAAAACGGAGTGTTGGCGCTGTGTTAAATAAACACTTGACCTAATACGCCTCATAAACAGCAAATAGGAGCATTAAGTGAAAGAGCGATATAAGGATTTAATGTGCGTGTCCACATGGCGTCAACCCTCTGGCAAACTCCCTTTGTTCATTTAAAGCGCAGCTGTCAGACAGCTTTCCAAGTTGGAACAGGCGCAAAATGTGCGCGTGTGAGCGCGCGCAAACAGAGCTGGATTGTGATTTGAAACAACAGCTGAGTCAAGTTCAAATGCTGAGCTCAAGGTCAAAAGGCAGAGAGGGAGGGGATTTAAATGTGTGTGCCAGCGTGTGTGTGTATGTGGGGCTTTAGATCATAAGACTGGCTACCTGACAGTTTGAGGAGCACCTGTTTCACTGCAAAGAACAAATTGTCATTACGAATCAAAAAACTAGGTGATTCTTGGAAATGAAAAATATAGCTGTAGATGAGGAAATGTGGATGTGTGTTTGCTCTATGTGCAAACGATACCTTTCATATCATGCTGGCTGTCTTCTCTCCGGCGGTCCAGCTCTTTCCTGTCATAATTGAGTCTCTTTAAGCACATAATTCCATACTGCAGACTAGCCCTGGAAGACACCCAAAAAAAGCAGACATACATACGTCTCATTATCCTTCCCATCTCTGATTCTCATGCATCCAGTTATCAGGTAGAACACATTCCAGTGGTGCTGCTGCAAACCTGTGAAAGCTGTCCACCATCTTCAGATGGCTTCTCAGGTCCTTTTTGGTCAGATGGTCCAGCATGCGAGCATCAACAAGACACTCCATGAAGTAGGAGCGGTACTGAGGCAGTCCGAGGCTGGGCAGCCATTCGTTTCCTATCCACTCATGATTCATGTCTCCGTATGCTAAAGTCTGAAGGAACAAAAGCTGAGAATGTTACAGATGTTCCAGTCATCATAAAAATTACCTGTTTAAGCTTTTCTACATTATGGAAAATATCACCCCCCCCTAAAAAAAAAAAAAATTATTTTAAAAGATTAAATAAAGATCTGAAAAGTGTGGCATACATTTTATGAGTCCAAAATCAAGGCTGCATTGCATTTCATTTCAGTCCATAATCATGCACTTTGTGTGCCAATAAAAACCAAAATACCGGCGGAGCGCTGACCAGTCTTTTATAAAATTTTCCAAAGCTCCATCCAGTTCACTGTACAGTCTCTTATACAG